CCAAGCCAGGGCCCAGGGCAATGCCAAGGCGAGGGGCAAGGGTGGTAGGAGATGGGGGAGCTGAGGTGCCAGGGCTGGAGCCCTCCTCATCACCCAGGGGAGTGCAGGCTCTGCCCCCTCTCCCTGGCCAGATCCAGAGCTGGGTTTGGGGTACCTGCCAGGACCTGGGCTGCTGGAAAAGGCCAGAAGAAGCCACAGCAAGTGCAGAAGCACACCCAGGGTGACTCTGGACCCCAGCACAGGCAGAGGCAGCAGCAGCAATGATGGGAAGTGGACAGGAGTGGCAGAGGGGCATGCACCAGGGACACAGGCTGCAGGACCTGCACTGCCCCAGAGCAGGCAGCTCTTCCCCCCCCATCCCTGCCCTGAACCCCAGGGGTGTCTCCGCACACAGAGGGGCTAGGGTCAGAGTGGCCAAGAGAGCCAAGAAAGAGCAAGAGGCGGCAGCTGCTGAAACACCGGCGCCCTTTTATTCACAGCCGAGCAGGGCACAGCCTCCTGCTCTGGCCAGAGGGGCAGAGGTGCAAGGACCTGCCTCAGGGCTCAGCCCGACCCAGCCAGCGGAGCACAGGGCAGGGGGGACAGGGCCCTGGGGGCAGGAGGGGGCCCCACCATGTCCCCTCCGTGCCCCACACAGGCCTTGCAGCAGGGGCAGGTCCCAGACAGCCCAGGCTGGGTGGTTGAGGCGATGGAGGCCATGTGCCATGGCAAAGGGACTGTGCCCAGCTCAGCAGGGCACTTCTGCTCCACCGGCACCCTCCAACCTTCACCCAGCCCTCAGGGAGAGCCTACGCCAGGAGCTGACTGAGCCAAGGATGCATTTTGATCCCTCGGGGAAGCAGAGGAAGGGGTGAGAAGAGGAGGCAGTAGACAGGGGAAGGCAGCAACGGGCAGGAAAGCCGGGGCAGCATGGCCGTGCCGGTGCTCCGGGCACCACAATGCCTGCACAGGCTGGCTCAGTCCTCTCCCCGCCTCCCACAAAAGGGGGGTCCTGGGGCACGTCTCTGCTGGGCAGCACTGCCCCACATCACGTCTGTGCTAGCGAGAGCTCCTCCAGGCCTTCTTTCCCCAGCCGGTACCTGGCGAGGTCCTTGCGGGTAACCATGCCCACCACCTGCCAGGAAAGGGACAGGGTAGTCCCCAGGCTCTTCCTGCCAGCATGGGGCTCAAGGGCAGCGTGTCATGTCCCCCCGCCACCGAGGAGCCCAGGCTGCCTGCATGCAGCGAGCAGGGACTCACCTCATTACGATTGTCCACAACCACCAAGTGCCGCAGCCCCAGGGCTCGGAAAAGCTTGAACACCCGTGGCAGAGACGCCTCCTGCAAGGCAGAGTGGGGCTGCATGGGCTGCGGCATCCCCAGCTGGCACCCACCGGCCACCCATGAACCCCAAGATGTGCTGGGGTGCCAAGGGGGTCCCTGGCCGTTACCTGAGGCACGGTGTAGGGCGAGGGGTTCATGAACTCGCTGAGGTCGATCATGCACTCGCGCTCATCCTGGGAGACGTGGATGGACTGGATGGGGGGGAAGCGGGGGTAGGCATCCCGGAAACCCTTCAGCTTCAGCCGCCGCTGCACCAGGCTCAGATTGGCCCTTTCCACAAAAACCTTGGGAGGAGAGAGGCCGTTGGGGACCATCATGGAGCACCGACAGGCACCAGGGGCAGGGAGGGAAGAGGGCAGGAGCATGGGGCAGATGGACCATCTGCAGAAGAACAGCCTGTTTCTTGTTCACTTGCAGTTTGTGACCCAGTGGGGTGCAGGATGGTGCTGGGGTAACCCCAGCACAGCACAGCAACCACCACTGTCTCCTCAGGTGAGCCAAGGGAGATGACAGGGACCCTCCACCAGCTCCTCCCAAGCAAGGAAGGCGCCAAGAGGCCTGAGGCAGTAGTGGGACAGGGGTACTGGGGCTCTGACAC